TACGCTAGCGTAAATATTACCGCTAACTTATTGTTAACGGGCACGTTATTCAGTAAGGAATGTAGATCTTCTTCTTTAAGCGATTTGACGACTGGGATCCATAGGAGATCAGAATTAATATTTATTACTCTCGCATTTTCATATTATCGAAATTCTAATTTTATTATTTGATTATATTTTACTTTCAAGTAAAATAAATTACAATTAAAATAATATTAATAAAATGTTTAATCCTAATAAGACNAAATTACAATTAAAATAATATTAATAAAATGTTTAATCTTAATAAGACATTTTTATTTAAGATTAATAAAAGACTAATTAAAATAAGGATTATAACCTTTTGTATTCAATTTTAAACAAGGCTGAATTTCAGTTTTGATGTGGGTTTGCTAGATGAATTTTAATGTTCCGACGTTTTTAGAGTCGCCTTTTAATTATTGTTGATAAGAAAAAAATTGTACAATTTTTTCTATATTTTTTATAATAGAAATAAATTTACTAATAATAAATCGAAAACTAAAATAAAAAACTGAACTATATTGTGTTTATAAATATATATAAAAAAAGTTAATAGTTTGTTAATTGTAAAAACAATTCTTATGTTTCCCAAAAAAAGGATTAATCCCAAAATTAATTAAAATGCATTTGCAGAAGGGTCATTCCATGTAAAATCACCTAATGTGTGTCCAGGTATAGTTCAGAAATTTATGAAATTTATATCATAGACTTCTTAAAAGTCATTGACAACAAAAATAATAATTTTATTTTTTTTTATTGTTTTTTACCAGATAGTGCATTTTTTATAATTAAAAATATGAAAAAACAACCTATGTCCTAGAGCCTATAACTTCACATCCAAATAAGCTATGACTGTGGAACACTGTTTTACTCATATTAAATAGTACTTCAATTTTATTCTTAAGTTTTTAAATTTTTTTGAACATCGAAATTTTGATTTAAATTTTGCAGTATTTTAATAACAAAATGTGAAGGTCAAAAAATTTTTAATTAAAATTTTTTTTTTTAGAAACTTTTGGTAATGGTTTTTTAATCCATATCATATTTGAATCGATTTATAATTTTTTTTGTATCGTTTTACGGTCTTGAACATGCAAGGTTTTATGAAAATAGCCAACTTTATCATCTCATTACACAAAAGTGACTGAACGAAATTTTTTCAAATTTACATAGTACTTTCTTTTAGGCATTTAAAACTTCTGGTGAAAATTTTTGATGGAGAAATAATTTTAACACTACTTATAGAATTTACAAAATTTACATTTGCGTATTATGGAAAATCCACAAACTACGTAATTTTCAACACTCAAATTTAATTTCTTGTATTTATTCTGCGTTCTGTAGTATAATAAGTTATTGGAACTCATAAAAAAATCCTAGGAGCAACGGCTAAGTTCGGAAAAGCTCCATTACTTTTTTTCATAAAGTTAATTACATCCAATAGATATTTTTGATTCTTCAACTACGTTTTGACAAATTAAGAATTTTTCAAATAAATATACGCACAAATATCTTTTTCATCTTCAAATTTTATTGTTATAGGCTTACCGCTAAGTGTACAAGATAAACTGGATAAGGAGGATATAACAAGTACAGATTTATTAATGAATAAAATAAGAATGTATGATTCAGAAAAAAACCAATATAAAAAAGATGATAAGATGAAATCTAATTACAATAATAATAATGTAATTATAAAGGGAAAGAGTAATGTTGACAANCAATAATAATAATGTAATTATGAAGGGAAAGAGTAATGTTGACAAGAAGTATAATGTATCACCAAAAGGATTTTCTGAAAAAAAGCATTGCTATATGTGTGAGGCTCTAAATAAACCTAATCGTTATCATCCACTTCAACTTTGTTGGAACAAGCTACAATATTTGGAAAAAAAAATGTTAATGTATCCGAAGTCAATCAAAGTGAAATTGATGAACTATTGGACATTGAACTAGAGAACCAAAAAAACTAAATCGCCCGGAAAAATGTACATCACTTATAACATTAAACGTATTAATTAATAAATCAAAAAAGTAAAAGGTATCTATGATAGTGGTTCAAATATTACATTTGTTAATCACAAGATTATAAACCAATTAAAAGCAACATTTTTTGAAAATCATAGTTTGTTTAAAACAATAAGTGGAGTAAATTTCACCAATAGCCGGGCACGTTTACATTTAAAAATTAATAAAATTGAAAAAGTTTTAGATGTATATGTTATAAAAAACAATAATTTTTCATATGATTTATTACTTGGTCTAGATGCTATTAAAATATTTAAATTGTCACAAGATGAAAATTTAAATATTTTTCAAAAAATAAATGAAAAATAAAGTTCATAAATTGACAATTCATAAATTGTCAAAAAAAACAAAAGAATGAACTACAATTAAATTTGAATGAATATATTGATGTTAGTATTTTTGAAA